TATATATATATATACACATATACTGTATATGTATATATATACACACATACACACACGTATATACAGTATATACATACATATATATATATATATATACACTGTGTATTTAGAAAGACAAATGCATAGAGTACATGAACATGTCAGGAAACCTCAAGATGGCGGCATCAGACCATTAAATGTGGACAGGAAGTGGTGACATTAACACACTATGACATAAACACGCTGAGACACAAATATATGTTCTATAGTTTCCCTCCATGCTGTGGGTTTTCACGGACCGACTTGTCGACTTGTAACATTGTAGTATACAGTGCATGTATATTGACAGTTATATTTCCCACTTACCTGACAGGAAGTCTGCACAGAAGGATGTCTTGTTCTGGTGAAAACCAGGTGAGAGTAAAGATGGCGGCTCCTGTTCCTGAATGTAAAACACAGCGATTACAAAAAGCAAACTATGGTACCAGATAATGTTCATTATTCTCTGAGAAGAGGAAAGTCAGTGTAGACAAAAACTAAACAGACCAAGTTTGTTGTGATGAGCATTTATTAGGTCAAATAGATGTGTTGTAGTTTCTGTTAAGTTAATTAATCACCGCCCCTGCTTCAGAGCTGACCCACAACTATAGTCTACCTGACTGTGACTGTTGGCTGGACACAATAAACACCCTCAGGTGTGAAGACCATCTGGGAGCAACTCAGTTCAAACATCGCCCTGAAGTGTCTGACACCTCAAAAGGGCTGAACTCTACAGAGGTGTCTGCTGAAGTCGGCTTCACTCTGGTAGGGATCAGGATCTATGAAGGGATTATAGCTATGATGTCATCAATGTCATGTTTGTATAATGAGCAGTGCCTTTCAGGCAGCAAACCAACTTCAACAGAGGAGTGAGTCCAACTTTACCTTCATGTAGCTGGGAATTGACTGTCAATTTTTAAATATCAGTCATGTTAATCTATTAACTTATGAGACGAGTGGCAGAAAAAGACAGAAGGTCAGAGTTCAGTGAGTGGAGACAGAGAGCTCAGGTTCTCAGACTGGAGACAGGTAATGGACTCCAAGGTTCCGTCTCTGGCTGTTCCACACAGATCACTCCACCCTGTGAGGTGGGTGAAAACACATGTCATCTTCAGATGATTGATCTTCACTCTGTACTGTAACAGTATTTGATATCAATTAAAAGTTGCATTTGTTTTGCAACAGTCCATTTATTGCCGTGTAGGGGGTGGGAGGGGTGATTAAAAAAAATTCCAGAGGAATGACTGGTTCAGTGTTAAAAAAAAAAAAAACATGTTCAGAAGAGTGGTCATCACTGCATGGTCTTAGGTTTGGAGATGACTCCGTCTGGATAGCGCTTCTTAAAGCGGGCCACAACCTCAGGGTCCAGGAGATGGATCCCATCCAGCTGGTTTCCAAGAGTGACCCTGAAAGCACACAGTTTCATGGATTGATTCGATACATATTCTAGGTTGGCTGTGAGCTACACAGAAAAGAAGACAGCGACAGTATTACCAGTTGGGTTGGACGTTGTGCGGTCGACCGAACAGCTCAATCTTCCTGGTGCCCGGTGATAGTCTCTCAATCATTCCGTAAATTTCATCTGGTTTGTGACTGGTGGAGCGAACCTCTGCCACGATGACATCACAGTCCAGACCTCGGTTGAATCCCTGAGGGTTTCCCTTCACTCCCACCTGAGGACAGATGAGACAACATTGACCTCCTGACTCTAAACACACTGTTCACTCACTTTCAAGTAAGCTAACATTTAGCTGTTAGACGATATTTTTTAATGTATTTTCAGCTAACTCTTACTTTTATATCCACCTTACGAGAACTGGCTCTATCTGACACTGGGGATCGAAACTGATCCAATACACGGGAATGGAAACTGTTGAAAATAGTGATGTGTCACTCAAAAAAAAAAAAACGGCTAATCTAATCTTCAGCTGACAGTTGCTCCTGATCAGGCTAATCCATGCAGGCAGGAGCATGACTTTACTTTGATGGGCACTATCATACCATTATATGAAAGAAGGAAGGCGGGGCAACGTAGTCTACAGTAGTACAGACACAGGAGACTGATTTAAACATGCCTTTGGGAAAAAGTAAAATGAGAGATAAATTAAAGAAACAGCATCTCACTACAACATATCACAAACATGGCCCGTTTTTGGACTGATTTAAGCCGTTGTGTCGTAGCTGCTATTCCAAGGATGACATCGCTTCTTTTAACAAACGTTTCGCTCGACATTGTGTATGTTTGAACTTCCAAACTTTAGCACATTTCTAAGCTAATCTTTAGTCATGTTTCGGCACAATAGTGGCTAACACTCTCAGCTGGTGACCATACCAGACAGTGCTCCTTCCCATGGTTGAGCCAATGTCCAGTTCTCCCGGTGCGAATGATTCTTTGGAGCTGGTTTGTTTTCACCCAGATGATTTCATCAACGCGCTCGTAGCTGCGAGACAAACAAAAGACAGGAAAGATAATCTTGAGAGAAAAAAAACATGAACAAAGATTGATTCATAATAAATGTACCAACACTAGAGGGCAGCAACCTTATTGAAACTGAGAGCTACTTCAAGGGCACTTAGTAATTAGCTACTTGTTTAATACAGACTTTCTGAACACCGTAATAATAATCAGTTCTGAGACATATAACAGTAGACACTCTTCTTATTATCGTCATTGCACCCTTTTAAATATCACTGCAAGTGGAACTGATTCAAAAAGCACAGTAACAGTACAATTTTTCACCAGGGCTACTAGGTGACCCCGGGCACCACATTGGTGACCCCTGACCTATACTCAGTACCTGCAGAGTAAATAAAGCTGAAAAACTCACCCCCAAAGACTGAGGCACTCTCTGCCCAGCTCCATGGCTCTGTAGAAAAAACAGAACAAACTTTCTGGGTTGGTAAACACACGCACAACAAACTATTCTACAGGAGTGGGTTAATGGAGACTCCTGGTGGAGAACAGTTGAAATACAATCAGCATTTCGAAAATGGATTGGCTAATAATGCCCTGGGGCTTTTATTCTTCAGGAACAAAAAGAAAAATAAATCAGTGTGAAAAACTTATAAAACTTCTCAAACACAAAGTGGAACTGTTTCTGGACTTTTTGTAATGTTAGTGCTGAAATAGAACAGGGCAAAAAGAAAGCAAGAAAAAACAAACAAAAAAAAACCCAAAGGTGGACTAAAGTCATTAAATAGTAAAGGCAACAAGATCTTCACAACAAAAAGAGAGAGAAAACAAGAAACAACAAATGGAAGAAAAAAGGAGAACAAGAAAGAAAAAGCAAAAAAAAAAAAAAGGTGGAGGTTTCTTTACCTGCCTGTGACCCACAGGAAGAGGAAACCATCGTCCTGCAGGATGGGAATGTTGAGTTTTCTCATCTCGTCATCTGTCAGCGTCCCGTACGGCAGCTCCATGTGAATGTCCCACGGAGGGTCGGCCATCACCACTGCAAACTTCCCCAGGATGGAAACGTCCAGGTAGCGGATGTCACAGCAGATCCACTGGAGAGATCGGAGGAATGAGACAAAAACTGAGGAAAATGGTGGAATTCTGCAGAAACTGCTGTTGAAAAGATTTCCACAATAGATCATTTTTAGCTGAAAGACACGTTACAAAAGCTAATAGTTAGCCTAAAGAAACACTAAAGGTTAGCCAAAGATATAAAAGTTATGCTAGAATTGCCTTGCTAGGCAAACATTTTGCCAAGAAAAGCAATTAGCTTGAAGTTATTCCAAATAGCTAAAATTAATGATGATGGTTGTTAAAAGGTATTAAAAGTCTACCTGTGAAGGAAAGAGTTTTCCCACGTTGCTGTCTGTGTCCCCAGCGTGAAGCCCCAGTTCTGTGGTGCCCGCCTGGGGTCCCAGTAGGCCGCCTTCTGCCTCTGGGGGACTGTCGATCTCGTAGTGGACGTATTTACATGTGTCCATGTGGAAACAGGTGTTGAGGAAGGAGCAGTCGCCCAGGCTCTCGTCTGTGTGCTTGTTGATGATGCGTCTGCAGGAGGAGAGTGAAAACATTGTCACTCACTAAAGACAGTCTTTTATTATTTACTTAAAAAAAACTTTAATTTGTAAAAATAGAGTTAAAAAGACAGCTTTCAACTAAACTATAGCTTACACGGTTGAATTTTAGCCAAAGGATAGCAAAAGTTAGACCAGAAAAAGCTTTAGGTATAACACAAAAGTAGCTAAAAATAACTCTGATAACAAAGTTAGCTCAAGGATAACTAAAAGTTAGCAATAAGAAAAAAAGCAAAGTCAGTGCTAAAATCCAGCTTATCGATTACACAGTGTTAGTCCAAACATACCACTGCTAGACCAAACGGCAACAAACTGCTAAAAGATGAAACTTTAATTAAACCATTAATACTTAAATAGAATTAGCTTCATGATAAATAAAGTCAGACCAGTGATACCAAAATCAAAAAAGTGAAATAAAACATATGTTCAAAATTTTCTGATCAACATGTGCAGGTTTGTGTCAAACCGGAAGTGTAACTTGGTGCAGGGCTGGGGCGTGTCCCCCGAGCGAACACACTCTTCCTTGGTCCCGTGATCACAGAACTCTTGGACCTGAGCCCGACCGCGAGACCGGAACTTCTCCACGATGGACTGCTCTTTGGCTGTGCTGGCGTTGAGCAGCTCCAGAATCTCTCTGCTCACCTGACAGATAAATGACACTTGTGTCAAACCTGGGAGAAAAATGTCAGAGCTCAGAAAGACCTTGATCAACTTCAACCTTCTGTCACCTTCTTGCTCTGCTGCTCTTTTGTGGACTGTTGGTTCAGAAGGCTTTCGATTTCCATGTCCACATGAGACGACTGGTTTTTATTACTCCTTCCCTTCTTCTCCGCCCCGCTCCCACATGCTGAAGGTCCTGCCATCTGTGAGGAGGAGGCTGGAGTGATGGAGGTGGCGGAGGAGTGTGGTGGAGAAGCTGAGCGCTGTATGGAGGGTGAGAATCCACCAGGTCGTGGGTTGTTGGTTTGGTCTTCAGCCTTTCTCTTGACTCCTGAGCGCTGGGCTCCAGCCCCTGATGCAGACCCGATCATCGGCCATAATTTAGTGTGATCCACAGCCGTGACAACTGTGGAGGGGGAGGAGGAGGAGCCGGAGGTGGATTCTCTGACCTCGATGAGCTCCTGGGCTGAGAACTTGAGCAGGAGGCTCTGGATGCAGCTGTGACTTACAGCAGATTCAGACTGTGAGAGAAATGGAATCAAACGTTTACATAAATACAACAAATGACACAAATTTAACACAAAAAGGCACAAACTAAATTTCAGAGAAGTTGATACACTTCCTAAAACAAAGAGGAAATGACAGATGAAGGCAGAAAATCCAGGCAAATTGTATATGTGACAAAAAAAGAACATGACAAAATAAACAAAGAGGGTTCTTAATTAGGAGAAAATGATTAAAAGTTAAAAAGTTTAAAAGATTAAAAGTCTAGCAATGGTAAAAGGTAAAAAATGACAGTACATTCAGTTGAATGTATACTTTTCAAAAATAGTATAATGTTTGTAAGTAAGTAACTTTCTTTGTCCATCAGTCTAATAAATAAGTTTGAGGTGAAAACTACAGATTTTACTACAAAACTACAGATTTTTTTTCTACATTCATGTTGATAAGTGAAGTAACTCTTCTGTCGGTGGGTGATGTCAAAGAGTTAGACACAGAAATCAAAGACTCACCGTGGTGAGTTCGTTGGTGATGGTGAGAGAATCTGCAGGCAGAGAAAGACTCAGGTCAGACAGGTATCCCAGCAGCCTCTTCTCCAGCTCTGGATCAGGGGGCTTCGCCGTCTCCTCCTGAGATGTGGACGGAGTTGACGGTGCTGGGCTGTCGCTCCTGGCTGTGGAAGCGTCTGTGCTGCCACTTCCATCTGAATGGTGACAAAAACAAACTCCGGAAATTAGAAAAAATAAGTTGTGATCACAAGGGTTTTTTTTAAATTAAATTTCAAATAAAGATATTTAAAAACCAAAGCGCAACAACGATAAATAAAACTAATAAACTTTAATGTGTGAACATTTTGTTCGTTGTTCTTTTTGCTGATTTTGTAAACACTACAACTACGAGACACGTGGGCTTTGGGAACATATCAGGACATTCGCCTCCCTTTATTAAACTTTATAAAATCTATAATTCCTTCAAAATGAGGAAGGATACTAGAGAGTGTGGTTGTGTTTGGTCGCACGGCTGCTTTGTGTCTACCTGAAGAATGCTGTGCCGGGTCCTTCCGCCGCCGCTGCAGCCTTTCCCGTAGAGAGTGCAGCTGCTTCTTGTGCGCCTGAATGTTGCTCCATGTGTCCGACATGACATTCGAGTTGAGGATTAACCCAAAATACACGAATCCCGGTACGAATTCAAAAGGTTCGCGGCACAAACAGGCGCTATTCGTTTCCCACCGGAAGACACTAATGTGAGGCGCCAGTGTCGGGCCAGTCGCAGGCTTTAAACGTTGAAAGGTTCCCACGTATAATAATCAAAGGGATAAAGCAAATGTGTTTCGTAAAAATATAAAAAATATAAAACCCGTTCTATAGGGATTTGCTGCATTTGGCCTGACAGAAAAAGTATCCAATAACCACTCTCCTTGCCATTTTATTCAGCTTTCCTGTTGGCCTTAGTTTTGCGACGGACAGCTCCAACTTCCTGTGTAACTGAAATTTAAAGCCCCGTTACTTATGCGTGAAAACAAGGCATTAGCAATTTAACAGATACATTACTGTTTCCCCATTGCAATTTTCTATCAGAACCATGTATTTAATGCTTGGTATTTAACTCTGTGAACTTAGTTCTTCTGCCGCTGAAAGACTGAATCTATTGTTGCTAAAAACCAAGGAAAAGATGGCGGAAGAGAAGAGCAGCGAGCGGCTCACTGAGAAAAACGAACTGCAGATAATGAAGGCAAGACTTGTCACTTTTTGAATACAATTGATATTTTTAGTTAGCTAAACCTGTTCGTTATGTTTGGACAAAATTTAAGATGTTTTTGCTCCCTGCACATTTGGCTGTTAATGATTTTAAATATGTAGACAGCTATCCAGAATGTGGGTTACTCCTCCACTTTATTGTTCCAGGGGAAGAGCAGCTTTGGTTCAACGTTGTAGCTCAGGTTTTGGATATTAAACAAGAGCTCCAGGTGACCTGGCTTCATGTGGCCCATCACTGGAACGGAACAATTATGAACATGCGAGCGGTGATGTAAAGTTGTTGGTTATCATATGGCTCTGACCGAACCAACATCACACTGAGAAATAACAGGTGGATTAGTTTTAGATAACAGTGAGAAGAAGAAGAATGTCTGGAACTTTCTCCCATCTAGGATCTTACAATGTTTCGCATCTTTTTGGTGCCTTTTTTTTTTAGCAGAAGTCAGAAACTGTGTCATTAATGTGATCCATTAAAAGTTGTCTCCACCACTGCACTCCATCTCTTTACAGGAGCTGGTGGATGAACTGTACCAGTTCAGAGATTTTTATTTTGACACTCGCGGTCTAGAGGACGCTGCCCTGAAGCAAAACGATGTCTTGCAGGAGATGGAGAAGACGCTGATGAGGCTGCAGGAGAATGAAGGTGATTGTAAAAGTTTTTCCGAATTTCAGACATGTTCATTTCTATCCTGACCCTCATTGTTTCTCACATTTTCGCTCAGATTGTTACAAAGACAACGCAGACTTCCTGCTGCAGAAAGCCAGGTGTCTTAATGTCTCTGCAGACTACAGTGCCATGGCAGAGGAGTCTCTCTCCCGGGCTCTGAAGCTGGACCCCAGGCTATACGAAGCGTGGAATATTTTGGGGGAGCAGTACTGGAAAAAAGAAGACCTGGTCAAGGCTAAGAACTACTTTGAGGGAGCACTGCAGAAGGTAGAGCAATCAGACAGGTGACATCTTTCTGGATGAACACACCTGTTGTAATTCTTTAAAGGCATAGAGTCAACATGATACTGGAAACATTCCTAAGAGGTTCAACATGGACTGATCTACGTGTGCATGGTCTCCTGCCTCTGCAGAGCAAAAACAAAGTGTCTCTCCGTAGCCTGTCCATGCTGTTGAGGCAGCTGCCGGTGGCCGACTCCAACACCTATGGCAAAATGGTGCTGGAGAGTGTGGACTTGGCCCGACAAGCTGTGCAGTTGGATGTCACTGATGGGACGTCCTGGTGTGAGTAGGGTTTTCACCTTCTGAAATAATTCAAACGAAAGTTTTTTAAGGATCACAGGATGTTAACCAGCTACTGAAACAATAAAATGCTAATGTGCTCTATCGACAGTTGTCCTGGGAAATGCCTACGTGTCCATGTTTTTTTCCTGTGGACAGAACCCACAGTTGTGTCAACAAGCTCTTAGTGCCTACGCACAGTCTGTAAGAACATGCACATGCAAAAAAACATTTCAAACCGTTTTCTGTCAATTGTGACATCATTTGGATTCTCTACCTTTAAAGGAAAAGGTGGACAGAGCTGCTGCTTTCTACCCGGAGCTGCACTTCAACAGGGCCACATTGTTCCAGTATGAGGAGATGTTTGGGTCGGCGTTGGAGGGTTACAGCCGAGCGGCGGCACTGGAGCCCAGCATGGGGGATCCTCCTGTGAGGGAGAAGCAGCTGCTGGAGTATCTGGAGAAAGTCACAGACCTCATTCAGAACAAGGTTAATTGATGTGTGACTTGTAACCACAAGGTGGCAGCAAAGCCCCGTTTTACCCCACAATATTGGTATGGTCATTTAGTTGCACAATTTATCCAAAACAGAAAACATTTCAATCATAGATGCTTTTGAGAACAATAAAGGTCACGTTACAGTCCAGTAGAAAACAATCAACAGTGTAAAACCTATTCAAAACAAGCATCCAGTCTTTTTTGTAGCCTGGCTGGTCCTTTAATTAAACTCATGAAAACTTAAACAACTCAGCATTAGCCTTAAGCCAGCCCTAAAGTAACTTTTTTCTAAGATGTTCTGACTAAAAGAGGAAAACACCTCAAACCCATCTTTATAATAGCATAAAAATAGTTTAGCTATTAGTTAATGACTAACAATATTTGATAAAAAGGTGCCCTGACAATAATGAAAAATGCTCCTATGACAGCTATGGATAAACTTCATGTCCCAACCTGATGGATGGTCAAAGCTTTTTTCCCATTCTGGTGGTGCCCTGGCAATAATGAAAAATGCTCCTATGACACCTATGGATAAACTTCTTCAGTTAAACTTCATGTCCCAACCTGATGTATGGTCAAAGCTTTTTTCCCATTCTGGTTCTGTCACTTTGTTTTTCTTCTCAGGGCAAGGTGAAAGCTCGGCGGTTGAGGAACATGCTCTCCAACCTCAACACTTCCGCCCTAGGCCCTTGCTCCTCCCCTCAGTTTCGTTCTCCTGCCGGCCGTGTTGGCAGCCTTGAGCCTCGGACCCTGTCTTCGCTCTCGCATGGACACAATGCCGGTGTGGCCGCCCTGGGGAAGGTGGTGTTCAGTCTGGCCTGTGATGGTCGCATGGCCTTGTGAGTGCATCAGATTTCCTCTTCAAACCTCCTATGCTTCTCTGTCTGTTGCAACAGAATTCTGAAATCCTAGGTTTTTTCTCATCAGTACATTTGGAATGGTGGACCAAGAGGAGACGTGTATAGTGGTTATGGTCTACAACACCGCAGACAGCTGGGGCGTCCTGATAGGAGACAGTGTAGCCATCCCAGAACCTCAGGTCAAGCGACAAAATATAACCCACAAAGACAAGGTAGGTGTTTCAGGCTTGTTGTTAAAATAAAATATTCATTTTGTTTGATCGACTTGGACTCAAAGCCTCTCTCTGCTAGGTGTTTGACTTCAGGAGTATCAGAGTGGACTCTCCTCTGCTGCTGATTGTCAACGGGAAGAAACAGAACGTCCAAAGTCAGATCGCTGCCTCTGTCAGCTACAAGCCTCGGTGTGAATGAGGCTAGGAAAACAATAAGACTTTTAATTATGGGAACCTGAAATTCCAATGTTTGTCTCTTTGTTGTTGTTTTGTTGTATATATAGTTATCATACTGCATTGTCTTAAGAAAGATGGCATGTTTATATTTATAAAAAACATTTTTTTGGTATGTTCTCGCTGTTGGGGGGCATGGATATGTTTTTGTAAGTCAATTTTTTTTATACTGTCAACAAATGTTCATTTTGACTTTTTGTAGCTTGTAAAAACATTCAAAGCTGCACTTCAAAACCCCATCACAAAATATTAGACAACTGAGACTAAATGTCAGGTTTACTTAGAAGAATGTTGTTCTAGATCTTTTGCTAAATTATTTAAAAGGATTTTGTTCAAATTAACCTCATAGACAATGACACCAAACGGGGCAGCTGACAGCTGATCACGCCTTTGCCACCTGGAGGTAAAAACAAAGATTTTCCAAATGGAGCAGTTAGACTGTAGCATTGAACTATAACTGTCCCTTTAGGTTCTGACTGTTTGCCAAGGAAATCATTAAATTATGATGAACGGAACAGAAAACTTAGACTATTTGTGTATCTTGGATTTCAATTTATTTTGACTGAACTTTTATCTTTCTTAACAAGACTAAAACATTTGCTGCATAGCATTGACGTGTTAATAAGTTAAGTTAAATTAATAACAGTAAAGCAACTTGTATAACTGGTTCTAAATAAATGACAATGGAACCATATTAACTGAACGCATAAAGGTGGTTTAGACAAAAGTGAAAATAGAACCACTTCTCCTTATGGCTTCTTCAAGAAAGGTTGAACATTCTCTTTGACAGGAGAGTTGAGCTGGAAGAAGGGCTTGGCTCCATCAGGCTGCATGGGGGAGAAGAAGCAAGAGTCTCCGTCAGTGAACAGGAACTGGGGGCTTCTCGGGGGGGTCGTCACCTTTGGAGCCGTCCCTAGGTGACACAGGGGGATGATGGATGTCTCTCTTTGTTAACTCAGTCAAAATCACTGACATAGACAATCAGCACTAAACTAAAACTGTCAAGACTTTTCAACAGAAAGCCAAAATATGAGCATGAAAAAAAAAACTGCATACATTTGATCCCAATGCTGTTTTAGAACTCAATAAATCAATGCAGAATAAACCATATCTAATGGGTTTAAACCCAAGCCTATCAAATTGGACAGACAATAGAAACTACATTTAATAAACTAAAAGTTAGCTTTATATAATAGCAAAGTGAAAGCCAAATGTTATCCAAAGTAAGCCAAGAAATACACTTAAAGAGTTGTTAGCTCTAACGTGTTAGCTGACTGACCCACAATGAAGTGAACAAACTGCCAACAACACGGGGCAAAAACAGTCAAAAAAGGGCTAAAGATGACAAGTTCCAGATCAGATCGTAGAATGTGATAAAAGTAAGCTAAAACATATCTGTTAACTTGGTGGTAAGCTAAGATGACTCAAATATAGCACTGGAATAAATACACTTACAAAACAGGCAAACTATTTCCAAAAGCCAGATATTAGCTATCAGATGACAAAACATGAGGCCACGAAGACTAAGTTAGCCCAAAGGACAGCCTAAACGTAAAGACCACATTTTTCAAGCTGACATAAAACTCTTGTCAGTAAAGGTTCTACATTTTCCTACCAGTGTTGAATTCTGGACGTAGTGTTTGTGGCTGTGACTCTCTCTTCACCACCATGTTCCGCAGCCTCAGAGAGTCATAGAGACCCTGGAGTTTCTGGTACTGCCTGTTTCTCTCCATCAGCTTCTCAGACACTTCGCTGTATTTCCTCTTATACTCCTCCATCACCTGATGAAAATCATTTTCATTTTGGTTGAAGCACAATTTCAAAATCAAGCCCCTAATACATATAATATTTTTTGTTTTAACTGTGATGTTGATCTGATTCCTTACCATCTCCAACTGGTCTCACTTAAGTTATACTGGAGAGTACTTAAGTTTTTCTCAAAATATTCTTGGATCTCAGAAGACTCTTATTGTACCACTACCTCTGCCTGAATTTGGAGAGGTCATTCTATTTGTTATATGCCTCAAATTTCAATCACTTCAATCACAAGCAACATCTAAATGACCCAGTAGTTTTTCAGTCTTTTTTAGTCTTTCCAGTTATTGTAGGCTATATAGAAATATGTTTTACATTTTAGAAATATTTTTTTCGTCTGTAATACGTGGGTCTTTTTGAACATTTTGCTTAAACTTCTTATAATATATAACAATTTGATTACTTACTTACAACTTACTTAGGACTTTTCCCCTTTTTAGTCAGTTTCAACATTTTAAAACAAATCTTTACAAAATCACAGGCCTTTCTTGTTTGACTGCAGATCTAATTTACCTTTTTTAGTGAAGAGATTTCTCCTCTCATGGCACTGAGCTCCAATTTTCTGCACTGGTTCTGCTGGTTCAATACCTTTTCCATCTGCTTCAGCTGTGCCTCAGCCCGTGAAATACTGTACTCCTGGTACATGCGCTCCTGGTTGACCTTTACACGGGAGATGCAGGTTATTTATGAAGAAGGATGGCATAGAAGGAAGACATATAATAGAGACAATAAAGACATTATACCTGATAGCTCCAGAAGGCCAGAGCACGAGCACTGATGTCCAGGACTATGTCTGGTCGTAAACCTGCCAGCACCATGGCTTTGTACTCATCAGAGGGCGACAGCTCTGTCCTCACGATGTCCAGTTTCCCAGAGAGGGCAGAGGAGCATGCCGGGCAGATGACAGGAGATCGGCTGAACTCACCTGACCCGTGCCGATCACAGAAAACGTGTGAGCAGGCTGTGACCCAAGCGAAGCCACACAACTTGGAGCGGCACTTTGGGAAGTTGCACAGGAGTGTATCATCGCACAGAGACATGAGTGTGACTGCAGTGAAAGATGGAAAAAAGTCTTGTAATTAACAGAGATTTAGCTGTCTTGAATCAACTCTCTGTGAAGGACACCGACACTGAGGTTCAGAAAATTATGGGTTGTGATGTGGACTTGGCCTTATCACGTTCATTAATTTTGATGGAAATTTATGAAAACAAAGCAAACACCAAAGAACTTTGAGTTTAATGAAATACAATTAATGTTAACAACAGAGAATGTTTAAAAATCAGTTTACTTAACAGTTAAAATGTACTTGTTCATTATAGGTCATTACTTTAATCAATTACCCAATAAAATTAATATTGCGGACGATAAGTTGGTGTACCCGCATTCATTTAAAACAATTAACAAATTATCGCATGAAAATGACTACATTTAATGTCTTAAATGTTGCTTTTGACAGGCTAGATGCTGGCCGTAGCATTAGCATAGCAGCGTAGCCGAGCAATAGCGTGAGGCAGGCAAAACCTGACGTCAGGGCAGTTTTCATCCGCAACGTTATATTAACGCTTAAAAGAAAAATATAATTACATTTTTTTAAGTGGACAGTTATAATAAACAGTTTTTTTAGACGACTACAATCGAATCAACCTACCTATTTAGGTAAACGTATCCGTTACCAGGTACTGTTGCTAACAGGTGAAGCCAATTAAACGACGTCTTGTGATTGGCTAACGGCAATGACGAACGCGTATAACCGTTATTTGATTACGGGACCAGTTATTACAGTTAGCATTGATCTGAATATATTAATTTTACATTTGTACAGAATAACTTAATGGTTAAACCTAAAAAGGTGTTGCTTGAAAGACTTTGACTATCAAAACGCTAATTTATAAGTGTCGTCAGTGACGTTGTGACATGTAATTTCTAATAACTTGAAAGTGATGTAATAAAGGCATTCATTAGGAAGACAGACGTCACTGTTATTTTTACCTGAAATTGTAAGTTTGAATATAAACACTTCTATACGTTCTGGCCCCAAACGTTCTATGCTAAATCTGTCTATTTGTGTTTGCTTATTATTATTATTATTATTATTATTATTATTATTATCTTTTCTTCTATCTTGGACTTACAAAATACTTTTTAAAAAAATGAATGCAAAATATGAGGTTTTTGTCATCCATTCATCATCCCCCGTCTTCATAAAGATTTATTAGATGGATGATTTATCTCATCTCATCGCAGAGAAGGAAAATGATTACAAAATGCAAAAGGTCAAACCATATAAACACCCAAGTAATTACAATGTTAAAAATAATGTTATGTAAGCTAAATAATGTGACATTTCAATTAAAAATGTAGTTCTGTTTCTAAACAAAGGAAAATGAAGGAAAATAAAAATAAAGCAGCCACAAAAAAACTGCTGATTCTTCGTTCTTGACTTTTGTTTTACATCAGATTTAGATTATTTTGTACTATTTTGTTTTATTTGAGTACTATACATAAGTAAAGTTTCTTTCAATAAACACTTACACCCAGACTAATTCAGTGACAGTTTCCCAATGTCTTTCTGTGTCATACCACTCCTGTGTCACTTGGACAATCACACAGACCTGTAGCTCTTAAGGAACATGTGGTCTTTGCTTTTGTTTTTCAATCTCCAGTCTCTAAGTTGATATATGTCTAATGTGAGACACCAACCTAAAAATGACCCTCCGCCTTCTCCTCCTCCCCCTTCTCCTCCTCCCACCTTTTTTCTCTTTCTCTGCCTCTCTCTCTTTTATCCATTTCTCCACGTGGTACAGGAGTAAAGGCAGGGGGTGAAAGAGGGGCATTGTGCTGTGCAGCAGTGGATCCGGGGGTTCATAGTGAGAGAGGGGGAGATGCTCACTCAACTGTGTCCAGCAGGCCATTGTCAAAGATTCCCATCTATTCTCTGCCTTTTAAATAGAGCTCCAGTGTAAGATGCTTTTTTTAATGTGGGTGGGGTAAAAGGGTGGGTGAATGGGAGCAAGGGTGGGGTTTATAATACACTTGGTGATAACGCATGAAATACATGCATGTGTGGGCCCCCACTCATTGCACAGTTGTTGTTAATTGGCCCTATATAGAAATCAAAGAGCACCGTGGCCCGTTGTGAAGACTCAGGATTTAGCCAAACAGACCTGTGGGGGTGGGAGGTCAGGACAGGCCTCTGTAACTGATGGCTTTATGCATCAGCAATAAAAATTATTTACATAACAGTAACCCCTGACCCCGGAAAAGTTGGTACACTTAATCCTACAAATGTAATAAAAACAAAAATCTGGGTTTTGAAAAAAAAGCAATGAATGGACAAATAATATATTTTTGAATCCTTGTTTATTTGTTCAGAAATATGGGGACAGGAGGCAAACATCTGCTTTGGAAATTGTATTTTAAAAAGCGAGTGTTTGTTAAACATCTTTACTAAATTTAGTAAGGTTGGTTATGAGACCTGAGCTGCTTAACAGTCAGCAGGGTTTGTTTTTAGTGGTCTGCAGATCTGTCTATATCTGTGCCTAAGTTAACTACGTCATGTTTCGACTCACTTTTCTGCTTTTGTTTAACCGTGTTTATTTTGCAGTTTTTTAAAAAACATACTGGGTGTAAAGACACTGACCTGCTCAATCAGTTGTCAGATCTTCCTCGTTTGTCTTTAAAGCCATACTGCAGTGATAAGTGGAGATGGACAATGTTGACATTGTCCTACTGAGAAATGCATAGAAAAACATGTCATTATGAAAAGTCTATATTTGTTCATTGTGTACCACTTGAATCCATTTCAGAGGACCAGCAGTTATCAGATAAGTGCAGCAGTTCTACCATGGACAGTTCTCCCGTCCACGAAAGGACCGACCATTCACACTCATAATCACACCTGTGGTTGATTTAGTGTAAAAATGTCACCTGTGCCTTTATGTTTCTGGATTGTTGGAGGAAACTGAAGTGATTAGCGTAAACTCTCACACACATAAACACACAAACTCTGGGATTTGAGCTAGTGATCTACTCCCTGTAAGGCAAGAACCCTAAACACTCGACCCCATCACTGGGTTAAGTAAGTGAGCAAACCACAGCCTTCAGACCTAATTGCCTTTTTTCTAAGAAGCGTATCTGCCTTTGTGGAAGCAGTGTTGATAGACTGCCTCACATTTAAGACCTGACTTCAAACTTATTTTACACGTTATTGTACATGTTCAAAATCACCATGGTCAGAATCACCTTGTCCAGACAATAAGGCCGTTTAGAATGGCCTTTTCTGTGTCACGCAGTAGCTTCGACAGCTCATTGTCATTAAGAAAGTTTATAGCTGCTGTGAGTGTGTTAAAAAGGAAAATAAAAGCCACGGAGAACAGACAGGGAAGGAGAGGAGCAGAGAGGCTGCTGTTACACGCCATTCACATGCAAATATGACTGAGGAACAAGGAGTGGTTCTGTGTGTGTGTGTCTGTGTGTATGTGTGTGTTTGGAGGTGTGTGCACGTATATTCTCTGTGTGTGGGTCCGTGTGTCCTGTATGTGCATGCAGAGCAGTGTGGGAGAGGAGGAGCGCAGATTGGAAGGGGGAGAAAAGACTTTACCAAACAGCCGCGCGCACACACACGCACACTCACACGGCTCATTCATATGAGTCGGTGCAGACCTTCACCCCCTCGACTTCGAACTCACTTTTTAAGCACTTTATAGCGTTTTTGTCCCAATCCTGCTGGTGCTGCGCGTCTTGGGAACGGTTGGATGCTTGGATGCGTTTCAGGAGTCGTGCGTCCTGGTGCGCAGGAGAACCGTGCAACTTTGGAGCGGCGGATGCCCCCCTTTCTGCGCTCTGAGCAGCCGTGAATCATGTCACGCCGGAAACAGAAAAGACCCCAGCATCTCGTCAACGCGGATCCGGGTGGTCCACGTCTGCAGCCTTCTTCTGGTAAGAAAGAAACACCGCGTTTAAAGTTTCTCTTCGTGTGAAGAGTCGCTGAAGAACTAGGATTAGAACCAAGTTCTCCAGGAACCACTCGTAGAGTAAGTCTGATATGTAGGTTAAAGGATAGTGTTACTTATCTTAAGTTTCAGTGAGTGTGCCTTATTGCGGGAAGGTCACCGGTTCAAGTCCTAGTGATGATCTGTGGTTTTCCTGTGTGGAGTTGCCATGTTCTTGTCTAGTTCTGAGAGGAGGGCTCTCCAGTTTCTCCCACCGTTGAAAAACCTGCAGGAAAAAGTTTATTTTGTAACTCTTAACTTACTCAAGGAGTGAATATAAGTGTGAACGGTTGTTTGCTTTAATGTGATAGACGGGGGACCTGTCGCCCCATGACCCTGAACTGAAGAACTTAGCAGTGAAAATGGATGAATGAAGTAACATGTCTTTGTGCATCAAACCCACCTGATTTTTAAAAGTTGGACTTTTGAGCTCCCCCCAACCACCGCACCACACCCCCTCTGGCCAATCCATTCACTTTAATGGACCCCAGTAACAGAGGCCTGAGGCCCTAAGGCAGGGGCCAATAAACATGTCCCTGTAAAGTGAATGCAGTGGGATTAACTAACATACATCTGTGGCCATTTTCCTGCACTGGGCATCGCCTGTAGGAGACCAACAGGCTGCTCAGTGCTGACTGCTGGAGGTCTTTGATTGGTGTAGAGCACTCTCTTATTTGTTAACAATAAGGTGCAGGGCTAGGAGGGGGGCAGGAGAGGGAGTGGGGGGAGAAGGAAAGACAGTGTGTTTTTTTTGCTAAAGATTAATCTTCCACCCTGCCATTCTCTTCTCTTTCTGCTCCTGGTCCATGCTTTTCTTCCCTCATGCACCCCTCATTTTGCAGCTCCTCAATACTTCCCTCCCCTTTCTTTCTTTCTTGTTGCCCCCCTCCCTGCCTACAGCCCCATTGACTGTATACTCCTACACAGTTGGGGTGGGTGAGTGTTGAGAAGGATGGGAAAAAAGATTTAGTGGAGAGAAAGAGAGCTACAGCAGCGGCACAAGTGCAGCAAAGGTTCTTAGGAGTTAAACCTCCACAAATGACAGTGGAGTCTTAAGACTTAGTTTTTTAGTTTTTTTTTTTCTTGATTGACGAGGTTTTGGGTTTTTAGCCCACACTTCAGGAATTTCACAAAGGTACAGTCTTTCACACCATCACTATATCTCTCCAGGAGGGAATAGTTAGTTTGTCTCTCCATTGTTGTGACCCTCCCCCGTCTTTTTTCTTCTTTTACTCTTTCTCACTCTATGCTAAAGACTCTGAAAGAATTTGACCCCTGAGCAGCAGAGGTTAGATTGGTTGACCAATCAGAGTGTCTGGACAGTGCCCAGAACCCTTAGCATGGCCTGACCCTTCACCTCCACTGTGACGTAAGGGGGGAAGGGTGAATGAGGAGATGAAAGACGTAACTGCTCCAGGGAGGGGGGTGGGTTAAGAGGGGTTATGGGTTGTCTTGGTGATGCCCATTGTCCTCTAAAATGTGTCACCATAGCGACAAGGTGGTCTGTAAGCTTTTTTGTGTGTGTGCAAGATGTTTGAGGAGTTTTTTTTACTGTGGGGAGCACAGATTGAGACGCGACATGACAAAGACTTGTGGAGTTTCTTCCACTTGTTTGTTTGCTTGTCCAAGGCCATTTCCTGGCAGGAATTTCTTTTGAAGTTGAAACTGGACCATCTGGTCAGGTCACAAATGTTAAAAACAAATATTACAAACTCATGAAGAAAGGTTATTAAAACACAGAAAACACAACTTTTAAAGGAAGTTCTCATTTGATGAGTCGTTTCTAAGATGTTCTTTTGTTTCTATCAATTCTCAGACAACCACCTGGGAATGAAGTCACCCTCCACTTCCCTCGGCTCTGAAGTGACATCATCAGGATCCTCATCCTCATCCCCAAGCTCTCTCCAAGACTGCCAACCTCCACTGGCCCCTCGCCCATCCCCTGGTGGGCTCCACGCGCCTTCCTTACCCAGCGAGACTTCGCCTCCTCCCCACTGGCCCAGCCACATTGCGCCCTTCACCACCTCCCTCCCAAACACCCACTCTTCCCTTTCTCCAGACTTTCCTCACCCATCGTTGTCTTCCCAAACTCACTCTCCTTCACCACTGGATCAAACATCAGGCTCACAGACCCTGTCCCACCAAGGAAATTCTCACTCCATCATGACCTCCCCCACAATAGGTAGTTCAGCCACTACCAATACCTCCTCTTCATCCTCTTCCTCCTCCACATCCTCCCAGGGTGTGGTACCTCCCCGGGACAGCATCAGTCCAGGTCACCAACAGCAGCAGTCTTCCAGCATCTCAGACCCGCAGCAGATCCAAGTGCCTCCGACTTTGGCAGTTCTCCTTGAGGAGCTGAGGGTTCTACAGGAGAGGCAAATCCACCAAATGCAGATAACAGAGGAGATTTGTAGGCAGGTTCTACGACTAGGAGGGGCTGTCTTGGGCCAGGATAATAATTCTCAGGCCAGTGGTGCAGATAACAACCAGAAGTCTACTAGAAGAGCATCTTCGTCACCAACACATCCTTCCACTGCCACCCCCGTGACCACAGCCACACCTTTTCTGAGTGGCCTTTCGTCTTCCCTCTTCCCTCAGTCCAGTATCTCCAAATCAGTGTCTTCTAATGTCAATGGCAGCCGAAACTCTTCTTCTTCTACCTCTTCCTCATTACATTCCTCTTCATCATCAGCCATTACATCCACCATCAGTCCCTCTGCTGCCTCCCTACACCCACTCTCCTTATCGTTGGGCCTTACACCACGTTACCTCCATGAAAAATCGTCCAACACCTCCTCGTTCAACCACAGTAACAGTATCAGTTTCTCCACCCCTCCCCTGCCGTCCACCAGCCTTTCCCAGGACCTTCATCCCAGCTCCGCCCTCCCCTCCGCTGTATCATCAGGACGAGTTCAGCACGTTTGTCGATTCTGTGGGAAAGTGCTGAGCAGTGATTCCTCACTCCAGATCCACCTCAGGTCACACACAGGCGAAAGGCCTTACCAGTGTCCAGTCTGTTTGAGCCGCTTCACAACACGAGGGAACCTCAAAGCCCATTTCCTGCGCCACAGGGAACAGAATCCAGAGCTGTCCCTCTCTCTGTTGCCCCCAGCACTGTCAGAACAAGCACAGAGTGGAGCTGCCCCTGGGGTTGCCCAGAGAAGAAGAAAAAGGAGGGCTGACGACGAGGAGCCCTTCAATGGAGTCAAAGGAAGCATTCCTGGAATGACAGAAAACATGGCTTTGGGATTCCTGTCTGGTGCATCAGCTCGGGCCTCCCCCTCCTCCCTACCTCTGCCTCCCACAGTGGACATGGCGCTGTTGTCCACGGCACATTCACTGCTCCAGCTGAACAGAGCCTCGGCTGCAGCAGCTAGTGCATCAAATACTGTACTGCCCTCCTCCTCATCATCATCTTCCTCCTCTTCACTTGGAAGCCAGTTCAAAGGTGCAAAACAGCAGCGGTTCGATGAAAATACACCTCCACACTCTTCTCTTCACGCAACCTCCCCTTATTCGCAACTTGCCCATCTCCCCAAGATTTTATTCCCAGGAGGCACCTCTCATCATCACCTTGCACTTCTTCGGCCTGGAAGCCACCCGTCCACCTCCCACCTCACTTCCCACCAGTTACCTTTCCCCTTTCCACCTTTTCCCAAACAAACAACCTCGTCCCCTTCCTCGTCCTCTCCCACCACCTCCACCCAGACCTCAGACACCTCGAAGTTGCAGAGGCTGGTACAGAAACTTGAAAAACAACCACGGGGAGGTGCCTCGTCCTCGGCCTCCTCTCCATCCACTTCCTCACAAACACACGTTGAAGCCAACGGAGACACACGTGGTCATGATCTGAGCACAACCTCCAGTGCCTACCGCAAGGAAATGTTGGCTGCACTTGGCCTGAGCCCGAGTGCCAATGCTGGAGGACTGCTGTCCAGCCAGGGGGTCTCAGGTTCTGGCTCATCGACCACAGCAGCTGCCACTGCACTTTCCGGTGCCCAGGCTGCGAACCAATGCAGTGTTTGCTTGCGTGTCCTCAGCTGCCCTAGAGCCCTTCGCTTGCACCAGGCCACACACCTGGGAGAACGTCCATTCCCCTGTAAGCTGTGCGGCCGCTCCTTTTCCACAAAGGGCAGTTTAAGAGCTCACCTGGCCACTCATCGGTCAAGACCACCAAATGCCCGTGCCTTGAATTCCTGCCCTTTGTGTCCACGAAAATTCACGAACGCCTTGGTTCTTCAGCACCACATCCGCCTGCACCTTGGAGGCCAAATACCTCCTGATGGAGACGTGCCACCCGAGGATGCAGTGAGAACCCAAGGTACAGGATTTGACGAGGCTGAAAATGATTCCAGTTTTTCCTCCAAGTCTCAACAGCTCCATCCCTTGGCCTTAACAATAGGCACAAAGGTTCCCAATGACGTGATTAAATCAGGGTCCACTCCTAAGAAATCCACAGCTGTTGATGTGAAGGCTGAGGAATCTGAGGACCTAACACCCAGTGCCGTGTCACCTTTGACCCATAATCCTACCACGGGAGAAGCTGAGGACCCCCTGCATCTGGAAGACAACACCTTAGCTGATGGAAGCCCAATGAACAGCTCTGTGCACTCTGAGGAAGAGGAGACCCGTGTTGACCCGGGCAGCAACAGTCTTTTCAAAGCTGTCTTAGCTGCTACTCATTCATCGGCTGTGAATGGTGCTGCATTGGCTGATGACATTCCTCTGTCGCTATGTGTTTCAAAGAGAATTGAAAATAGTGCAACTCAAAAAGAGATTAGCACTGATGAAGACAAACCAACAACGAGCACTGACTCCATGCCAAAACCTCCACCAGGAAATCCCTCCCCAGCACTTACTCCACCTGCGAGCCCCAGTGTTGCCCCAGAGGAGGAGGCTCGTGGCAGTGCAACACAGGTTCCAGCGGAAGAAGATGCTGCTCCAGATAAAGACGCACCCACAGAGACTTCACCAGCCTTGGACCCAGAGATGGACAAGGCCACCCTGACAGAGGAAGGTCATGAAGTGTCAGAACACTCTGCAGAGAACACAGAGACTTCAGTCCCAGCACCATCCACTCCACAGAACCAGCCTCCACGTCCAGACAAACCATACTGCTGCTCCCACTGTGGGAAGGCATACGCCAGCCGCAGTGGACTTAAGGTAAGACTTAACTCTGTGTCCAGTCTCAAGTCAACAGTTCTGCTGATTAGGACTTTACTTAACTATCCTCTGCTGTATCTTTTTTTGACAGGGACACATGAAAACCCACGCTGGAGCCTTGACAAGCACGCCATCTAATGCCCAAACCAATGATAGCGACACTTCAGAGGATCCAAATAGAAACACAGGACTGAAAGAGAATAAGCAGGGGTTGGTAAAGTCCCCTGAGAAAGGTGCCGGCACAGATCCTCTACCAGTCAGTGTTGGTTCGGAGGTGGTGGACGAGCCCATAGACAGTTCTGAGTAGAAAACGTCATGTTCTGTGAAACGACTGCAGTAAGTTCCTAAAGTATCCTGACAAGGGAATGTATTATTTTCATAGGAATGAGGAATGTTTAATGAAGTAAAAGTCATGTTTACCTTTTGTATGAGCTAGCATCTATGGTAGTAACATTACAGGAGACTTTTGAATGTAGTATTTAGAGGGTTAAATGTGTTTTTCTATTGCTGAGACCACACCGAGGCCTTAAGGTTCACTCCCACTCTGCTTTGTCCTAAGGAGAATTGACCGTCCACTTTCCTCATGTACTGTACGAACTCAAACCTAACAAACACAGGCTGACGGAACTAATGCTACAAAATTAACTTCTAGACCAAATCAGGCCAAAGTGTTCCTGGACAAAATGTGTAAATGCCCTGATCTTTTATGCCTTTTTTCCACTTCCTCCTTTCTAAGTGTTTTTAAATGCAATGCTGCTGAAGACGTGGTGTGTGGCGCTGCTGACCGCACTGTGTCTCCCACATAGACCGTATATATAAGAAATGGTCCATGCCACCTGTCTGCAAAATGAAGTCAATGGTAAAATCTGGCAATTTCTGAAGCCATTCATCAGGTCTGAGTCTGATAAATGTAGTCGTGTTACAGCTAACTTTTCTTTAGATGTTTTTGTTTTTTTTAGCATTTAGCAATCCAGGTTGTTCTTTGACTTACTTTGACTATTGTTAGCCTCTTTAACTGCACTGCAGTATTTCTGACACGGTCAGGTGTTGTTTTATGAGAAAAATACAATTATTTTGTATATTGTAGCTATGTTTTAGCAATTTCTTCACAGATACTGACTCCACGTCCAGTTCATTAAAGACATGTTTAGTGACAGTATAGAGTTTGCCGAGCTTTTAGCCTTTCAATTATATTTTGGTCGGCTTCAGATTCAACAGAAAAGCTGCAATTATTGAATGTTGACGCTATCTTCTAGCTAACCATGAGCTGTTCTGCACAGATAACTTGTAATGATTATGTAAATCTTAGTTTGAAATTTAAATATTCTTCTTTGGTTATCCTTTAAAAGTATTTTGATTATTTTTGGCTAGCTCTTTTTTTTAATACATTAACGTTTTAGCTAATATTTCAGCTAACACCGTACTTATTCGTTTTTTGCTGGTTTTTGCTTTTTCTGGGTAATTATATTTTAACTAGGAGTTGCTATGTTTGGCTAACATTTAGCTGTTTTAAGGTTAACCTTAAGTTACTCATTTGGCTTGCTTGTAGATATTTTGTTGCTGTTTGGTTTGTTAGCTAGAAAATGAGGTAGTTTGTTGCTAGTTTTTAGTTTCCCTACTGACTGACTTTACCGATGTTATCTTTGATCAAATATATGCTGATTATATATATATTTGCTGATTATTTTACCATGACTTACATTTTGGGAACCTTGCTGATTATTTTACCATGACTTACATTTAGGTGTTTTTTTTTAGTTAACTTTTGGGCTTTTAGCAATTCTTGGCTAATATTTAGCCCTCCTCTGGGTTTACTTTGATATATCTTTGGCTAATATCTAGATGTACTTGTGCTAGCTCCTAGCTACATTTGGCATATGTCGTCATACGTAGTTTAAATCTATTTAGCTGACTAAAAATCAAACTATTAACTCTAAACCTGTAACTTTTGACTACATTGGTTTAACACTGATCAATAATTTGAAAACATGTTTACATGAGTTCAGCTGGATATTTAACACCTCCTGTGTAGAAAGCATGGGATCCAGTGGTCGTTGGATCAAATGCCCAAGAAACATTTTTACAATTTAGTCATTTTATCTACTTAGAAACAGTTGATTTTTTTACGCCAAACAATTGCACCTGCATTCGTTTTTTCCCCGGCTTCACTTTTGCAAACCCGTGGCTAAGCCCACTACTTATATACGGACTATGACACCTGCTAATGAAGATAGAGATTATTTGAATGCCTGTGTTTGATGATTTTTCCTTTTTGTTGCTGTTGTTATGGTGACACATGTAACTATAGCAGCAGTTGGATTGACTCAGTTTGCTGATTATTGGTTTGTTGTCGTGTCAGTCAAAACCATCAGTAAGTCCCGTTCATGAACACCCGCCCTCCCCCAGCCCCTCACCCTCTCTCTCAGAGCACTTGAGAGTTTTCTGCTCCTGCAGAAATGTCCTGCACTCAACACATTTCTGCTGAGGCCAGTTTTAGGATTTTTAATTTTTTTTCATATTGTTGTTAACCACCTCCCATCATCCCTTGCCTCCTCGTCCCCCCACAGTCTACCCCCCCAGCCCCCACTGTTGTTTTTGTAGTATTGAATTAAAATGTATTTTCATGTAAGGTGTTAAAATGAATAAAACAATGTTGAATTGAAGAGAAAACTTGTTGCTGCTGCTCGTTCTTTGGTTCCTACTGATGTGTGAGGTCCTGGAAAGTAATAAATAATATATATGTTTTTAAAGTTTTTAAAATTGGAATTTACTCAGCTAGAGAGTGTTTAAAACGAACAATGATGTTGCATATTAAGATTTTGCCTTAAACTGGATACAATTTTGATAGCTTCACCTTTGTAAATGGGCAAGAAATACTCTAAAATTTAAAGAACTTTAAAGCTGTCGGGACAATACTTAACACCTGAAAAGATAAGTCAAAGTTTGTCTTCTTATAAAAAATTCTAAATATATATAAATTAAAAATGGTTTATCTATCTAATCAACAACATAACAGGAAGTTAACTTACTCAGTTGTAGGTTCTGTAGGGAATCTGAAAGTTATCCTGAATATTGTTCAAAGGCAGCAATATTTCTGTATCTGATTTAACACTTGAAGGTTGCTGTGATTTAGCCCAGAAATGAGCTTCCAGATTAAACAGTAACAGTAGACTAGACAGAGCTGCTACGACCATGAGCGGCAAAATGATGATGACGTTATAAACTGACGTGAACATTACCAAAAAGATTTGAACAGCTAATCAGAAGTTAGAGAAGAAGTTTAGCCTTGAACTAGCCAGAGGCTAGCTTGTCAAAATGTAGACAAACAATGTAAACAACGGACAAAAACGTTAAAATAAATGATCAAAAACTAAATTGATAACCATAGAAAATAATCTCAAGGCAATATTTTTATTTAGTCTTATTCAAATCTTTCTGTTTGTTTTCCGTCTCTCTGACATCCAGTTCTTTGTCTCTTAATCCTGGTTGATCGTTTGTTTTCCGTCTCTCTGATATGCAGTTCTTTGTCTCTTAATCCTGTTTTTTTTTTTCAATGTCTTTTTGTATGTTTCACTCCACACTGCTGTACGTGTGTGTGTGTGTGTGTGTGTGTGTGTAATCACAGCCTGTGTGCATGAGTGTGATGGAGGCTGCAGCTGTAGAGGCCCTCACCTCCCTCCCTCCTTCCCTCACCCCCTTTTTTCTCCACCTCACTCCTTCCACTCCTCAACTCTTGTTCTCCCCCTGTTCTGTTCCCTCCATGTAATGAGCTGACAAACACACACACACACACACACACGCAGGAAGCTCTAATCCTCACACAAAGCCACACTCAGTGACTGGGAGAATGACACTGGGAGTGAAGAGCGACCTGCTCCAGCTGTCCTCTTCCTCCTCCTCCTCCTCCTCTTGCTCCTCTAATCCCAGCACCTCCTCCTCCTCCTCGTCCAGAACCATGACAACCAGTAACCCAGGACAAGAATGACTGGGACAGAGCCGGGACAAAGGCAGTGAAAGACGCCATGTGTGAGAAGTTTGTCCACATGTGCAGGGACAGGAGACACGTCTCAATCAAAACAGCTCCACTCTTTAGATGTGATTAAGCGTTAGTCCCACTCTGGTATGTCATTATCCTGCACTCGTGTTTTGATTTGATTTCACTTCTAACTCCCTCACAGTCACATTCATGTGTGTTTTTGTCGTTGTTATTTGCAGCTATTTTGGACGTTGTGTAACATTGAACCACTACTGGGACGAGGCTAGAATTGGGATCCATCCCAGAGGACCTTCATCATATGTTCTGCCAATCCTCACTTGATTATTCTTTTATTCACATGTGGATAACCTGAATCAATGTAGCTCCATTCTCAGCTACATTTTAGCCTTTAGCTTTTAGCCAAAAACATACAACAACAACATGGTTAATGTACAGCTACAACAATACATTTTTGGGCTAAATTAAGACGTGTTGTTACCTTTTTCAACAAATTTCAATCATTTTTTGGCCAGACATTTGCCTCATCCTCTCTGTTTTCACCTCTTGTTACTTTACCCTTTTGTTACCTTGCTGTAGCCAAAACAGCTAAATCCTTCACCCATTTGAAGTATTACCACTTCATTTCCTGCTAGCATTCTCTTTATGCTAACCTTTAGACATTTTGTTTTGACCGTGGCCCATTTTCCCCCAGTCTTTTCACTTTAAACCCCTTCAGGTCAACTGCAGCATTTGCTGCTGTTCGTTGACTCACGGCCAGAGATGAAACCGTTGACCGTCAGTGATCGTTGCTCACTGACTCTCTTCCTTCCTTACCTGTTATTCTTGCTAACTTTCATCACGTTCACTCATTCATCAGTGTCAGCTTTAATCAAAGCTGTGGACCTTAATCAGCTTCAGCAAGAACAACAGCACCTCCTGCAGGTGTGAAGTGTCCTATGTTTACTGTCCCATTAGAGAAGAATGGACGACATTCAGAGAAACAAAGGAAATGTTTTTCTTACGTTAAACGACAAAGTTGAGCTGATTAATGTCAACTAAAGAGGTTTTCATGATTAATATTTAATTAATGTTTTTTCCCTCTTGTCTGTGACCACATTAGCACTTTGAAAATACGATAAAATAACTTTCTGCTCCATATATGTGTAATTTTAAACTGTTATTGAAGTCGGCTCTCTATGTTTGCTATTAAACCTTATTTTTGTTCAGTTTTAGTGTTTTTTTTTATTTTGCATGTCTTTTACGTGAATAGTAACTTACACCTTTTATTAATATTATACAAAAGTAGTCCAGTATTTAAAGTATAAAGTTTTATTTAATTTAAATATTCATACCCGTTGAACTTTTCCACATTATCTAATGTTACGACCACAAACATAATATATTTACAAATAAAAAACTGAAAAGTGCGGTGTGCAAAAATATTCTTTTGTATCCAGTTGCCTTCAGAAGTTGCCTGATGATTGCTGAATGATCGAAGGTTGACCTAATGACTAAATAGAGTCCACCAGTGTGTAATTTAATCTCAGTACAAACACAGATGTTCTGTGACTGGGCAATCTTGGAAGAAAACCTGTTGGGTCTGCAAAAGACTTGAGACTGGGGCGGAGATTTACCTTCCAGCAGGACGACGGCCCTCAGCATAAAGCCAGGGCTACAATGGAATGGTTTTGGGCAAGAGGAATGGGCAATAATTCCAGTCTGTAGATGTGCAAAGCTGGTAGAGACAGATTACAGCAAAAGGTGGTTCATCAAGGTATTGACTCAGGGGGGCTGAATACTTTTGCACAACGCACTTTTCTGTTTTTCCACAATTGTATGCCACTGTTGGTCTTTCACATACAATTCCGATAAAATATATTTATGTTTGTGGTCGTAACGTGACAAAATGTGAAACAGTTCAAGGGGTGTGAATACTTTTGCAAGCCACTGTATGGAAAAAATGTATCTAATCACTTTAAAATAGCCAAGTAAAAAAAAACATAAACTATACATCTATAAACATGTCGTTAAAATAATGCATATATTCTACAGTGTTTTAACTGTTTAAAAAACTAAAGTTTGAAATAATAAATAAACAAAAACAGCTGTGCATTTGCCATTAAATCTATAGCAACTGACCTAAAGATTTCACTGATTTAAGCCAAAATCTGGCAACAAATTAGTCAAATGACTAGTTAAAAATACAATCAAACGTAGCTAACAGTTAGCAGAGAAAGTTGCTAAATTCCATGTCCACCAGAGGGTGCCATCCTCCAGGGGTTTGATGATCAGAGACCAACTCAACATAAATCTCTTTATACTGAGAGGCTTTCTCTAATAAACATGAAATAAAATGTTTTTCTTTAATTTGACATTTTAATGTGGTTTACGTGTCGGGTTTCACTGGCTTTGGATAAAAAGTTCCCTGAACTTTGCCCTTTTTTCTCCAGGTACATTGTAGACCTGGGAACACTCCCAGAAAGACCCCAGTTCTGGTCTCTACAACTGTCTGCGGCTGCATCAGCCTCATACCTCTGTTCTCAGCTCCTGACCGTGATTTGCATTCATTTTGTCCATAATAAAGACCGAAGCTGACCCTGACTTCAAGATTGACCCCGCCCCCGTCGGTAACCCCGCCCCTCTCTTTGACTCGTTCGCGGTTGTCAAATAAAAAAGACGTCGAGAGACATAAAATCCTTGGGAAACATCAGCTAAGGACACAAGGAGACGAGGAGACAAGGACACAGGAGGAAAGTCAAGGACAAGTGATTTCTTTTTAGCAGTCAGCGGTATCGAAATGTAAAATTAGAAGAAGAAAAAGTGGAGAATCAACAGGAGAAGGTGAGTTTGGACAAAAACTGATTTGGTTCAGGTTTTCATGTATTTTCAGATATTTGTGAACGATTTAGTGATTTAGATTTTTTCATGTATTTTCAGATATTTGTGAAATCTGGTCTTTTTTAAACAAAAAGCCTAAGAATAAAGATTATCTTTGACCCCATCAGGCTTATCTTTTAAAAATGTATAAATGTAAATAAATAGAAATATGTACGTTTTTCTCATTTATTTTATAGTTCTGTTAAAATACGTTTGTATTATTTATGCTACATTTTAGCGCAAAAGTTTTGCTATTTTGCGGGGGATTTTTTCTTTCCATTATTTTTTGGTAAATCTTCATAAAAAATTTTAAACTTGAAACTTTGAAAATTTAATTTTCTTCTTTTCCAATTCTGGTTTATTTATGTAATCTGTCAGGGCTGTAACCAATCAGAAGACAGCTTTAGTGTCAGCTCTACACTGATTAACTTACACTGTCACTCCAGCTGGGTGTTATTGTTGTTATTAATCACATCAGGCGGAGGTTAGCTGCTGTAGCATGTGCTATTATTGATGTTATTTCATGTTATTTAACAGAGATTCGTTAAATACAGCAACATTTATGAAAGTAGGTTGATTAAGTCAGCTGTACTTGATCTGGGACCAGGGAAACTAATTTCGTTCACTCCGTGTCTAACATGTGTTGCAATGACAATAAAGAACCTTGAGTCCTTAAATAGCCAATACTTAGCAAAGCCTAAAAGTTGCCAATAATTAGCATAAAAGTAGCCAAAACATCCGGCAGTTAGCGTAGATACAGTTACAATAACCAAAAGCTGACACAGAAATCACATTAAGTTCCAAAAGAAAGTCTAAAATGAAGAATTTTAGATTTGGTCTGTATCATAGTTACAATAAACAAAAATGACCAGTTTCTAAATGTTAGCCAGAGAATAAGCTCAACCAAAAGTTAGCTCACAAGATAACAGCAGTAGTAGTACTAATAGTACTACTAGTACTACTAGTACTAGTAGTACTAATAGTACCATTAGTTCAGATGTTTCCAAAAGCTAGCCGTGGGATAAGAGGAAGTGTGTCAGGTAGCTCAGGAGATTACTTATCATGACAAAAACTTAGCTCAGAATATTCTAAAGAAAAAGACAAGAGCCAAGGAATGTGTGTGTGTATGTGTGTGTGTGTGTGTGTGTCAGCAGTAGATCTCTAGGAGATCTCTCTGGTCTGAAGGTGAAGTGAAGGAGAGAAGAAGAAAAGCCGACAGCGCTCAGATTTTATTGACTTTCTTTCTCTGATTAGAGCAGAACAGGAGGAGCTGATCTCCGGTCAGGACTTATCAGGTCCAGGTCCTGGACCTTGAACTCCACTACAGGAGCCTCGCCTTCTCACAGCCCACCTTTGACCACATTCTACTGTCTCCTCCACCTTCACTTCCTCCTACAGGACGTTAGAGCTGCTGCTGCTGCTGCTCATCTGCTGAAGGAACCTGAAGGTAGGAGAACTTCATCTCCCTGTCCCTGTCTCTGTCTCTGTCCCCTGAGGATCTCCCTGTCTCTGTCTCTGTCCCTGTCCCTGTCTCTGTCTCTGTCTCTGTTATCTCCTGTCTGACGTCTTCTCCACTATCTCCAGCCCTCACTGTTCTTCATATCTGCTCCTGTCTTTTCTCTCTTTCCTGTTGATCACCCACTGTTCTCTGTCATTTGCCCAGAACCTGGATGAGAATATTCTAAGGTTCAGTAGAAATGACTGTGTTTTTGGCCTCGACAGAGATTTTTTTTTTCTTTGTTCAGAATCAACTTTGTGTCCAAACTCAGGCCCAAGGCCCAGTGATGGTCCAAAGACGGTTAGAATATTCAAAAGATTTTGACCTGAATATGAAAACTTCTGGACTTTTATACAGTTTACACCTGCTTTTATTTGCTACATTTATTTATTCTTCATCTTCTTTAATTCATAATTTACTCTATGTTTCCTTTTTTTAAATGTTTACCTTCATATTTTGACCATTTTCTTTTCTGTTTTGAATTACTACTGGAGTAACTATGTAACATTTGTTTTGTATTTGTGTGTTTTTCTATGTTACATACATATATTTAGTCTTCATTATTCCATTTTCGATTATTTATTTAAATCAACTTATAACTGATGCAGAGCCCAAGTTTTTTTTCTTCCTTCTGACCTACTTTACTTTTGGCTATTTTTGGGTTTAGTTGTTTTAAAGCTTGATCTTGAACACAAACAGAGCTAATGTAGGAACAAACGTACAGCACTCCACTGTGTGTGTGTGTGTGAGTGTGTGTGTGTGAGTGTTGTCATTAGGAGCTGCAGTTAAATGGCCTTTTTAAGGTTGAGTGTATTGACAGAGAGACTGAGAGGAAGTGATGCTGTGAGTAACCAACGGCAGGGCAGGAATTAGAAACACACACACACACACACACACACACACACAGTGCACCGGCCGTACACAGAGTCAGCACCTCCGTCAGCACTGACTGGTCACATGGTTTCCAAAGTTCAGGATGTCAGAGATATCACACACACACATTTACACACCTGAGTCATTCATTCAGTCATTTTTTATTGCTACTTCCTGAGAACGTGCACAGGTTTTTACGTCTTTATTTAATGCTTTAAATGTTTATGTCTCTAAATCCAGATCAACACCAGTTTTAGCAAAACCTTTAGCATCTTATACTTCGTACTACTTCATTTACACCAGAAACACTAACCCCACTCTGCTCTAACACAGGCAAAAGCACACAAAAGAAACCTAAGGCATTAGCAATTAGAGCTAACAATTAGCCTAAACAGACACACATTTTTAAATGTCAGCAAAAATGCTAAATATCAGGAAACCTCTAAAATATATTATGGTGTTAGCTAACGATGAGCCAACAAGGAGTGGAGCCTTTATTAACAAAAGCAAAACCCAGAAAAAAACTAAAGATTAGCAAAAATATAGCACAGCTTCAAATCTACATAAAGGCAGAGCAAAGAATGGACAACCGTAGTTCTTCAGAGTTTTTCCCATGATGCTTCAACAGTTCCAGAGAACTTACTACTACCAGTGTCAGCTGTTCAGGCTCTAAAGACGCCTTTCTTACATGTTTTCTGTGGTGTGGATGACATTTAACCGTGGCCTAACACTCTGAACTTTGTCACTTTGATTCTGTGGTGAAATAAACAAACTGAGTTTGTTGTTTTTGTTGTTTTTGTCTCCACCACAGATGGCAGCCTTTGACCTCAGATAATTGAAAGAAACATTTTCTTCCAGACCACCAAGACAAACTTTTTTTTGTGACTGTTTTCCTTCAGAGACTTTTGTTTTAATTTATTAAATAAAAAAATAAAAAAACAGAGACGATGGCGTCGTACGCTCCTGCTTCAACTCAGGAAGAATCAAACGGTGGCGCTCCAAACGGAAACTCCAAAACAGCTGAGTCCATGAAGCTGAAGAAAGAAATCTCCCTCCTGAACGGTGTCTGCCTCATCGTGGGGAACATGATTGGATCTGGGATCTTTGTTTCCCCCAAGGGTGTCCTCATCCACAGCGCCTCCTATGGTCTGTCCCTGGTGGTGTGGACCGTCGGTGGCATCTTCTCCGTGTTTGGAGCGCTGTGCTACGCCGAGCTGGGCACCACCATCACCAAGTCCGGAGCCTCCTACGCCTACATCCTGGAGGCCTTTGGCGGCTTTCTGGCCTTCATCCGCCTGTGGACGTCACTGCTCATCATCGAACCCACCAGCCAGGCCATCATCGCCATCACCTTCTCCAACTACATGGTGCAGCCCGTCTTCCCCACCTGCATTGCACCGTACCTGGCCAACCGGCTGCTGGCTGCTGCCTGTATCTGTGAGTTTTTTCGGACAGGTTTATTTAGTGGAGGAAATTAGTTCTGTTTCCATGGTAACACCCTTTAATCTAGTTGCAACCAATTTACCAAATAGAAACAAAATAGAAATAAAAGTCACCACAATCTATGTAAAATGTGTGTATGTCACACAGAACTTTAGCCTAAAATTGAACAAAATTCCAGAGAACACTGGAGAAGTTTGGGTAAACGCAACAAGAACCTACGTTTAGTCCTCAATGCTAATGCTACAGCTTTGGTACAAAATGTTACTAAACATCAGCAAAAAGCACCACAAGGTGAAAAAAGGAAGGTAAAAAGGCTGTAAAATTTCAACAAAAGCACTGCAACTGCTACACATTAACAAAAACATACAAACATAAAAACGGGACAATTCAGCTATAACTGCAACACTAGCTACAAGTTCATCCAGATAAAGCTCAGGACCGGTCTCTATTTTTATTCACTGACGTCTTGAAAACCCCGTCTGCACCTTTCCACACTGCCTCCACACGTGATTACAAGGACACAGAAGGGAGAAGTGGTGACAGCTCAGCCACACCAAAGAAGAAGTGAGAAGCTAAAAGTGAGGAGGCCAGAGGTGAAGAGTTTTACAAGAGTTGTTCAGTCGTTTCTTTTTTTTTTCTTTAACACGACGTCGTCTTCAATGTTTGTTTTCTCTTTGAGATTGAATCACAATTATCACGATCAAAACGGAGAAAGTTACTCAAGAATTTATTCAGAATATTCCAAAGACACAATAGTCAAGAATTAGGTTAGCCAGCCTAAAATGTGGTCAAATGACCAAAAGTATTAGCTACAACTTATTCAGTCTAAGCTAGTCAAAAACATTAAATATAAAATTAAACCAAATAATAATTAAGGAAATTAATTAGGACATTAACATTAATCATGGTAATTACATTGAAGTTTAACAATACATTTCAAAATGTGAAAATTAGTCCAAAAAAAACCACCCTAACGTGACTCCTGCCTGTGACCTGATCTGCACCAGCACACAGCAGGGCAGCTCCTTTTCTTCACACTGACCAAAGTCGAAGTTAAGACTCATGGTTTTTATCAGAGCTGAGCAGAGTCAGTGAAGAGAACGACTGGCTTTAGGAAATGCTGCTGCTGACTCAGGCGGACAGCACTGTTGTTTTCAGATGAGGAAACAGCTGAGTGCAGCACATACACCACACACACGCACACACACACACACACACAGGAACGAAACTGGTCTCATGATCTGGTGTAAGTTCACTCATTGACTTATAGACTTAACTTCTTAAGAAACAACATGTTTATGAGCCATTAGCTGGTGGGCTGATTAGCACGTGATCCTTCAGACATGTGGAGACAGTGACACCTGCTGTCCACTCCGACTCACCTACCCAACTGTCAGGACTCAACTCTCAGCTAACCATTCCAACATGTCTAGCTAATATCAGCGCCTGCTTTTAGCAGCTGATGGCTAATCCTTACAGCTGTACATTAAAGCTACCTATGAGCTAACGTGAAATAATTCAGCTAATTTTCACCTCTGAGGGTTAACTCTTAGCCCACTGATGGCTAACTTATCTTCTTTTAGCGATGACGGTTATCCATTTCTCAGCTAACTAGAGTTTACCCTTTTTCAGGTTTGCTAACCTTCGTGAACTGTGCCTATGTGAAGTGGGGAACCCGGGTGCAGGACTTCTTCACCTACGCCAAAGTCATTGCCCTCATCGCCGTCATTATCACCGGCCTGTTGAAGATTGGACAAGGTTCTCAGACCCTCAGTGAACCCCTCCGTTACTTCACTACACCACAGTGTGTGGGTTAGACCTCTAGTTGAAGTATCTAACCCTGGCAAAATGTGGGCGTTGAAGTATCTAACCCTGGCAAAATGTTTTTTTTTTTGTTCACCAGGTCACACTCAGAACTTCGAGGGCCTCTTTGAAGGCTCCTCTCAGGACCCTGGAGACATTGCTCTGGCCCTGTACTCTGCTCTGTTCTCCTACTCCGGCTGGGACACTCTCAACTTTGTCACCGAGGAGATTAAAAACCCAGAGAGGTGAGGAGAACTCCCCCAACATCTGTTGACTGTTCAGTTCATTAATACTGACCGCTGTAGAACGTCCTTCAGGCTAAACAATAATAATACACACCAAATATCTAAATGGTAGCAAATTTATTTACATATAACTACAGTTAATCATCACAAAGCTAAGAGTTAAGTTACCTGAACCTAAATAACTAAAAATCCCTAAAACAATCCAGACACATCTCAGTGTTAGCCAAAACAGCTCATAGGTAACTAAAAAGTGCCCCAGATATAGGAAGGATAGCCTGATAGCTAACTATTAGCTAAACGAAAAACATGAATTGTTGCAGAAAAGGTAGCAAAGATAAGAATATGACCTAAATAATCCTAAAAGTAATTTAAATTAGCTAAAGGTTAGTCGATAACTTAACTTAAAAGTTACAATTTACAAGTACATAAATACAGCGATATACCAAAACAAATCATTGAATTCATTCATTTCTTTTTCAGGTCATGAGAGTTTAATATTATAAAAAGGAAAGCCTGGATTAAAAGGTGTGCAGTGCTGGGCCGCACGTAAGGCTGAAGGTACACTACTGTATGTGGTAGTAAATGATGATGAAACATCTCTTTTAGTCTCTTTGTGGGGCTGAGAACCAGGTTTTACAGAAAACCCTGGTGAAGGTTCTGTCATCACAAAGCCAAACACCGATCAAATGAACCAAAAACAGGACACATGAGCCAATCACAGGCCAAAGTCTCACGTTCTCAGGGAGATCAGGTGCCCGAGCCCCACAGTCAACATCCCAAACCCAGATCCAGTTCTTCCCTGCAGTCCAGCTAGGATCACAACACTTGAACTGCTTCATGACTTCATAACATGTTTTCACTGCGGGATCCATCTACTCTGCTTACACTCCCTCTGCTGGTTGTTTGTGTGTTTTACAGGAACCTGCCTATGGCCATAGCCATCTCCATGCCCATTGTAACTGTGATCTACATTCTGACCAACGTGGCCTACTACACCGTGCTCCCCATCAACGCCATCTTAGACAGTGATGCCGTCGCTGTGGTAAGTTACTGAACGCTTGTTTGAGACACTTAGGGGTATCCCCAAAGATTACATTTGAATTGATGCTTAAAACATATAGACAGCCATTATCCATTACAAAAAATGTCTGTTCTGCCTGAAGACATTTCTGTCTGTTTTTTCCAGACCTTTGCAGACCAGGTGTTTGGTGTGATGAACTGGACCATTCCCTTGGCGGTGGCGCTGTCCTGTTTCGGCGGACTGAACGCCTCCATCCTGGCGGCCTCGAGGTGAGTCACTCCATCCTTTACTGCGACACCATCTTGTTCTTGTTCTCATGTTGTCGTCACTGATCTTCACTTCCTGGTGTTTTGAAGGTTGTTTTTCGTGGGCTGAAGAGAAGGTCACCTCCCCGACTACCTGTGCATGATCCACGTGCACCGCTACACACCCATCCCTGCCCTGCTCTTCAATGTAAGTCCACAACTCAACGTTCTTCCCTTCTTCTCTCTACATGTTGCACAGCACTTGTTGTGATATTTTGAGCTTGGACCAAATCTTGTCTTGTTTTCTAACATTGTCCCAATGCTTCTCCGTGTGGTTTGGTTTCTGCAGGGCGTCATGGCTCTTATCTACTTGTGTGTAGAAGATGTCTTCAGGTTGATCAACTACTACAGTTTCAGCTACTGGCTCTTTGTGGGTCTGTCCATTTTTGGGCAACTGTATCTGCGGTGGAAGCAGCCGGACAGGAAGAGACCACTGAAGGTAGGACATAAACGCTACCAAAGAACATTCCATCAAAACCAGGTTCCTCCTTTAACCCCCTTCTCTCCTCGTCCTCCTGCAGCTCAGTCTCTTCTACCCCATCGTTTTCTGCATCCTCACCGTCTTCCTGGTGGTGGTTCCGCTCTACAGCGACACCATCAACTCCCTGATCGGCATTGGGATTGCCTTGTCAGGGGTTCCCGTCTACTTCCTCTGCTGCTATACTCCTGCCCACAAGAGGCCACTGTGGCTCCGGCGCTTCATTGGTAAGAGATCAAAAGACCATGTGCAGGTGTCTCTGAGGTAGTACATCTAGTAGTTTCTCATTCCTAGTTCATACTTCTGACAAGATCCCCAACAGCACTGGCTGAAATACAGCCACAGCCTGTGAGGAGGTCGACTGCTTGTTTCACTGGAAGCTCCAGTCTTTGATGTACTTTTTACTTTGACTCCTCCAAGGATACTTTCTATCACAGGATGGTACTTTTTGACCACGATAGTCTCAGTGGACTCATACATTTGTGGGACACACCATTGTTTTAGAGAGTCCTGGAGCGAGACATTGGGTCATTACCAGAAGTCCAGACCACATGTTCGGGTTTTATATAAAGCTGGACTCTCTTACTAAAAGTCTTGGTCACTTTCACAGGTGTAAGTGGTGGAAAAGACAATGTCAGTGAACCAAAGGTAGAGTAGAGGGCACACTGACTGTGTTCATGTTGGAGCTGCTCCAGTCACCGTTTCTTTTTCTTTTTTCAGCCAAATCTGGAATCCTCATTCAGAAAGTTTGCTTCTCCGTTCTCACTGAAATGGACGAGGACGAGGACGAGGACAAGGAGGAGTAGGTTTCTGTTTCGTAATCACGTCACATCTTGCCGTAGACCAACAACGCACAAACGGGAGGCTCAACATGAACTCATCACGGCCACTCATTTCCTGCTGCGCTGACCCTGAGGGAACGAACACTTGAGCAGCAGCAGCACGACGGACCTGTCACACATCACCCGGTGATCATGTAACCAGACAGTTAGACGGCAACTGGGTGATTGATGGAGAGAAATCTGAAGGAAAATCACTTCCTGTCAGGACAGATGAATTCAGGTTAAAGCCAGAGCCGGACTGTTGAACCTATGACAGTTTGACCAACAGATCTCGTCTAAGTAAAGGGCTTTTTATATTTGCAAATAATGAGGTTTAATAAAGCTGCGACACATGTGAGCAGGTGCTGCATATTTATAAGAAAAAAATAAAAAGTTCTTGTCCTCAACACAAACGACTCCAGTGTTCCTTCTGAAGACAGAGATGACGCACAGTGTGACGAGTGGTTGTAGTTTGGAGGCGGTCATTTTATTACATTATTTGTAATTATAATAATAATAACAATAACACAAACGTGACATCAATGTTTAGTCATTGATTTCATTCACATGTATTTACAACAGACAGTGAAACGCTGTTACTTTCAATTCATACGACCGTGTCCTTCCAGGGCTTGGCTTTTACAGCAGCTCTCTTGGTGTCGTTGGACAAGGGAGCGCTCTTGTGCAGAGGATTGTGGGTAAAGGTCTGCCTTAATGGACCTGTAACGAAAGACAACAGGGGCTGTTTAGTGTATCAATGTATATTGTAGGTGTACTTATGTATATACTGTATATATATATAGTAGATAAAAACATTAAAGTTCCTGTAAAAACAAGTTGTAAAAAGCTCTTGATTTGAGTTCATGGGGCTGTGGAACTGATTTTCAACCTTTAGAAGAAAGTTCCAGATGATTTTTTATCCTCCTGTCTCTCTCCTGCATCTGCTGGGCTGCTTTAGCATTCTTCCAGGCTGGAAACACACACACAGAACATTAGACCTTTTACAGAACAACAGCTTGTCCAAACTGGTTCGAGTTCTTTGTTAAGCCTACATTCCGACAGGGTTTCCATGAATCCTTTTTGGGGGGGTATTGACGAGGGCGGGTGAACGATCCGACTTGGGATGTTGAGCTTTTTCCTGATGAGTGGTTGTTTGAGCAGAGACACTTGGAGTAGGGAGAAGCAGTTGGAGGTGAGCCAGTAGGTGGAGACGGCCTGCAGGTGGAGACAAAGAGTCTTACTAGAACCAAAGAAAAAGGACCAGAGTGGTCTTAGCACCATCTTCTGTTTATTCTAAAAAATGGAGCCTCGAGTCAATAAACAAAGTTCTGATTGGTTCTTGCCCTCGATTATTAAACACTGATTGGACTGTCCCTGAAACTTGTTTTAATTGGTTGACTAATGTGTCATCACTTTATGATTCATGTCATCATTTAGCCCAACATCACTTCCTGCTTAAGAAAGGAAACAACACTTTTTTTTGTGTACAAACGGAGGAGACAGAGGTGTCGACGGCCTGACAGATGAGGAGTAAACACTGACCGTGGGGAAGTTGATGGTGACAAAGAAGATAATCACAGGCATGACTTTGTTGACGGCCTTCATTATCCTCAGATTAGGATTATCAATTCCACTCTCTGCTCCCATCTGGAAGCAGGAGGATGTGAAGAGTCAGCACAGAGAACAAGTATGTCTGGTGGTTTCTGGTGTTCTTCTCTGGTCATGTGACCTGAGCTGACTCACATGCAGGACAAAAAACATGGTTCCGCTGACGGCTAAGGGCAGGATGTACAGAGGATCCCCCAGAGTCAGGTCAGGGAACCACAGCACACCTTCGGTCTGCAGGCTTGGAACAGGCAGCTGGGCCATCTTCTTCAGGGCCAAGAAGAAGGAAAGGAAGATCGGAGCCTGAAGAAAAAAGGCCAAAAATCTCACATTCAAGCACTTTCAAGGTCTGCTATTAAACTCTTTCAGCACATTGCAGTTTTTCGATGTCTGGGTCTGGCTAATTTTGTTCAAAATCTACCTGTTTTCAGGGCTGACCTTTTTTCACACCATTGTTGAGCTTTTCCTCAACTTGTTTTACATTTTAGCTTTAAGCATTTGATTGCTACATTATCCAGCTAACATTCAAACAGAACATCTGCAGTTGTTTTGGTCAAATATTCATCATTTTAAGTTACCTTAGCTCCATCCTTTTCTGTCTCGACCCTGTGTTGGCTAACATTTAGCGATTTTAGCCCCATTGGTGGGTGCATTCCTTTGGTGAACATTATGTACTTGGCCAATTTTTCATTTAATAAACTTTAACAACAGAAGTAGTTTTTACATTTTTGATCAAGTTTTGGCAGTTGAAGCACATTTCCCCCTTCCTCTGCCACCCCAAGTACAATGACAATAAAGGTTATTCTATTCTATCGTCAAATGTTCCTGATTGGATTTTGGGGAGGGGGGTTTAGTTTACCTGTAAACAAAACGTTGCTTCTTTATGGCCAACGTTTCACTGGACAATACTTGTTGTTTGGGATTAGCTTTAAACCTTTAGCAGGCTGACATAGTAGTTTAATTGTTTGGTTTTTTTTCTACAGTATCTTCTGACTAGCTGTTAGCAGTTTTTGGACCAACCCAGACTCTGAAGCTCTGACTAAAGAAAGCCAAACACTGACCTGGACAAACGGAACCAGGAAGGTCTTGAGGGAATTCACTCCATGTTTTTTCTGACACATCTCCAGTTCTGAGTAGGCTTTGGCAACTGCACATCGACAGACATAATACTCATATACTGTAGTACGTACAGTAGGAGATCACACAAGCATCTGGACACATGTAAGGAGAGGAAGTCTGAACTTGCATTCAAATTTGTTGCCGCTCTGCTTGGCTTCTGACATTTTGTTGTTGAGACGGACCATGTCAGGCATGATGTTGTTCAGCTTGGCTGCTTCTCGCTGACCTTTCACCATGATGGGAAACACGACCAGACGAACCACGACAGTCCCTGCGGGAACACGAACACTGGTTCTGATCACTGTTCTCATGACTACACCGAGGAGAAGGACAATAAACCCTGCTCACCTAAGACAATGGCCCCCCACCACGGCAAACCCAGATTTATATGGATGTACTCTAAAATATTCTGGATCAACCCGACTGGAGTGTTGGCTCCCAATCCCAGCTCTGCGAAAGTAGGTTCTGTGGCTACAGCCTGCAGGACGTCGACTGCGGTGGGAGCTGCAGCATCAGACACCTGCTCTGAGACCAGGTGTTCCCAGACTGGAGCAGCGGGTGGGGACATTGCAGCAGAGAGA